AATGAATGAAACCAGTAAGATAGGATCCTTGTGTATTGTTGAAGGCTTTCACAGCTGGCATACGAAGGCTGGTGTAGGTCTTCCGGGCTGTGTCTTCCCCCCCTCTTCAGATCTCTATAAATACCCACAAAAGGGCCACATCACCCTGGGCACATAGAGAACTGCTCCTGTCTGTGCTCCTACACTCTGAAGATGCCGGTCACAAATGCTGGCAAAACATTAGGAAACAAAACTTTCAGAACATGGCCACATAGCCCGGAAGACCCACACCAGCCATAGGATCCTTGTCCTTAATGTGTAGATTGGAACCACAGATTTTGACTATTGTTGCTATGTTGTTTTAATTATATGTTTTATGTTCTCTTTCAGTCTGCTCCCAGTACTCACGAGGAGTTTTTGCCATTTTTGGACTGTACGATAAAAGATCAGTACACACCTTGACCTCATTCTGCAGCGCCTTGCACATCTCCCTCATCACACCCAGTTTCCCCACTGAGGGCGAGAGCCAGTTTGTGCTGCAACTGAGGCCTTCCTTACAAGGAGCGTTGCTAAGTTTGCTTGGTCATTATAAATGGAACCGCTTTGTCTTCCTTTATGACACGGATAGGGGTAAGTAACGTTCCTCTTTGTAACACTCACCTATTAAGAGATGTAGCCGTGTGCCTTAGAAAGAAGAGACATCTGGAGTGCTTTTCTTTCATATTCATCCATTAAAGCTGAACTGGGTAATTTATAAATTCTGCTGGATGTATATGGCAATCCTGAAGCAAATTTGTTTGGGCCCTAGAGCTGTGCTAGAAATCTGAGCAATTTAATTTGCTTCCACTTTGCAGCTGGCTTTATTTATTTATGAATGTATAAACCGCTTCAATCAACTGACTCTAAGTTTTTAGAGCTTTAATTTTCCTGGTGATGAAAAGTCAGATTCAGAAAAACAGCTGAAAAAAAAAAGAGAGAGAGAGAATTCCAAGATGAAAGGGAACATTTTAATAACAACATTTGAAAAACCAGTGCACTTTATCATTCTGTAATTTTGGTGATTGGACATTGAAAGCATTTGACATTTAAGATTAATTCTCCTTAACCATTTCTAGGACTGTTCTCAAGCAGGGAACTTCAACCACTGAAAGATGTAAAGTTGCTGAACTGGATTATGCCATGTAGCATAGAAAATATCTCAGAAGTATTTGAGCTCCTACTTTATTTTTGCTTCATTGCTACAAAAAATGGACACATGCACTCAGACAAATTTTCCTCTTTTTTATTACAAAATGATGAAATTTAATTTGTAATCTTTCCTTGCATGATTTGCTGTATTAGTAATTTTGCGCAGCTCTGTATGAAAATATTCCTTATGTTGTACCATTTTATTTCTGCCTAGTTCTGTTTGTTCTTTTTGTGTTTTTAAAATGCTCAGATAAAAAGCTTTGGAACATTTTATTAAGGTTTTCACCTGTTTCTGCTTTGCAATTTGTTCTGGATGAGCAGAATGCAGTAAATAAGATAGCAAAATAAATAAACAGTGATAGTTCCCTTAAAAAAAAAACATACAAATCCTCCCTTTCTCCTCTAAATTCCAACAATAAATTATAGGCTCACCATTTTGAAATATGTGACAGCATACTAAAGGCAGTTTCAGAATTTCCGTGCCTGTAATATGTTTTGTAAACTATTCTTCAAGAAACTACAAAAAACTTGGAATATTATGAATATGCTTTTGAAATGGAGATTGATACAACTTTTACGTGTCTCTGTGAAAAATTCCAGAATGATCGTTCTGCTAGCCTATAGCTTGAACACAATGAAGAAACTTGCCAATTTACAGGTTAACTACTTGATATCACAATCTCGCTTGGGCCATGGACCAAAATGTCAGATATATTTGATAAAGTAACTTTTAGCTGACATAAATGTATGGCAGAACAAAATTCTTCCACTACCACTATTAGACTTTCTTTTCCTCTTTTCTCACTTTCCTGAACTTCTTTCCAAAAACTGCTCAAATTAATCCCCCCAAACCTCTGCAGCAGATATTAATAGTAATAAGTACTAGTGATAGTGTTAACACCTCTTTTCTTTAAATGCTGAGGTAGTATTTGTTGGATATAATGTTGGAGATAACTTGAAACAGCTTCTTTGCAATGATGTGTCTCTCTGGCTAGCTAGCTAGCTAGCTAGCTAGATCTTCATGAAGCAATTGTTCTAATAGACTGCATATTTTTTTATTGTAAAGAGTACATTGAATTTTGTTCAAAGAAAAACATCACATTGAATATAAAACAGGAAGACTAAAAACAAGTTGCTGATTACTGGTAAATTTACTATTTGCCTGATAATTTGGGCAAATTGTTGTTTCTTGGCCTTTCACTAAGATCAAGCATTCAAGATGTATGCTGACAACCTTCAGGTCAAGTCAAACAAAAGCACAAACAGTAAAATAAGGTAATAGCAAGGCAACAGGTATTAAAGACATCTAAAAATATTCAACTGGGAATACAACATTTAGCAAGTTTTTGAAAGAACAAAATAAGTTATTTATCTGGTGTTGCTGAAATAAAAAGTAGGTGCCAGGCAGACCTGCTTAAGAAGTGTATTCCAAAACTGGGGGCTGTAATTGAAAAAAATCTGCTCACAATTAGCCATTTATTCAAATACAAAATTTGAGGTATTCAGAGTAAAAGTCTCAGATGCACAAATTGCTTTTTCTCTGATTCGTAGTCTTTTGTCATGAAAGGCTTTATAGCTGACAACCAGCACTTTGATTTGGGCTCAGAAATGAACTGGAAACCACTGGATATTATATAACATAACAATTTATATAATGCCCTTTAGAATCCTTACCATCATATTTTGTAGAATTTGAGAAGTCAAGGTTTCAGCAAGCAGGCAAACTGACAAAAATCCCAGAATTGATGACTAGTGATATTTATTGAATAGGAAGCCATTAGGTACCAACTTGCCAGACCTGAATCTGCCCATTTGATGAGAACATCTTAAGAAGACCTGTTAAGAGTCACCCTTCTTCTTGAAGCGAACGAGATGACAGCTCTCCTTTGTGGCAGCTGCTTTTCGCCTCCAGACTCTTTAACCCCAGACCATGAAGTTCCCTCTCTTATGAATTTTAGAAGATCTTTAAATGCAGTTTTATTTCAGTGTGTAGACCAGACTAAGAAACCAAAGCCATATAGGTCAGGTCTACTTTTATTGTAGCAAGTATAGTAACAGAATCTTACAAGTAGCAACGTGCTTCCCCCCACCCAAACTCACCTTGTCTTCTTCTGAACTAGAGAGTCCTGTTCAAGATGTTTACTCAAACTAACTTCTTGGCCTGAATAAGCACCCCCTTATCTGACTGTTGCCTTGGTTGTGGCCATTCCCTCTTTCCTCTTCACCTTGGCTGAGTTTTAGTGATGCTTATCGTAGGTGAAGGCAGATTTATTATTACTGTTGTTTTTCTGATCTTGATTCATTATCATTATAACTTTTATAGTTAATGTGTTCTAACCCACCCAGAAACGTTTGGCTTGGGTGGGCTGCACAGACTGCAAAATAAATAACCAGAAGAATTTCAGCAGCTGTAGTGATTTAGAAAAAATTCTGTGCATGTAAACCATGTTCAGGGTTCAAGCCCTCTTGCGATTTTTCTTCTCAATATATGCAAACAGAGAGCTTGTCTTCTTCTTTTGCATGGGCCTGGCTTGTTTCCATCTGCCCTTTGTTTTTGCAATGATCAGGTTTGCTGTTACCTGTGTGATTCTAGGATGTCTTCAAGAGGAACTCCTTATATAACTTAATGCAGAATTTTAAATGTGAGGTTCATTGAAGCCATGTTATTGTCATGCTGGCATGGCCTTAACTGGCATAAAGGATCTCCATGCCACAGAGGACTCTCGTGCCTCTAGTGACAAAATGGATGCACCAGCCACAGTAAACCCAAGTTACCAACTCAGCCCTTTTTGGACAGCGTACAACACTTTTGAATACAGGCCAAATGGTACCAGATATGCATCTATTGGATTTGTAACCCTCACATGAGGTGGCTGGAATCTAGTGTCATGCTAGTGGACTTCAGCTATCATAGTGACAAACATTTGCATACCTTCCCCAACTGCTCCAGAGATGTGTAGAAAACGCAAAGTCAGATTTTGAGGATCTGTAAGGTCTTTTGAGGGGAGGAGAAGTTGTAGACTAAGTTTCAGTTTGTTTGTGCTTATCCAGTCCGTTACCAAAATGTGAAGATGGCCTTAACTCAAGCTTGATTCCTGGTAAATACACAGACGCCACTGCCAGTTTTCTTGGTAACAGTAGACTGTGATGTTTTTCAGCTTCCTAGACTAGAACTAGCCCTGGAATTCCTTGAAGTTCTCCCATCCACATTCCAGCCAGCACTTCGTTTTCTGTCTAATTGTCTGCCACTTGCTGAGACTCCATTACCACAGCTAAGCATGCCATATTTACAGTTTTTAGAAACAGAGATATGCAAGTCATTCATATTAGCTGTTTTCAAACTTATGTGTGAATTTTACATGTAAATAATCCAACCAAATTTATTTTGGATGTCCAGATCAGAAACATTACAAACATATAGTAATTTTTCCTTTATTTAAAATCTTCAGCTTTGTATTGAATGTAAGATGTTATGATTTTGAAGCTAAAATAGGGTTTTTACTGTTATGGATAAATTTCCTGACTGATCAGCAGGGTTTGCAGCTGATAGGATTTAATGTTAGAGAAAAGCTTCCTTCTCCTCACCCTTCTTCTTCTCTGCACAATTACCCCAATTATGCATGAGGTAAACAGAAGCAGTTCAGATCTGCGCTGCTATCTTTGCTTTTTAATGTGAGTGCAATACCAACCTGCATGAAGCAGATAATGATGATTCAACACTGCTTTGTAAAAATTGCATATCAGGACTTACTGATAAGCATTCAGCATTTATTTATTTTTTTTGCATATAAAGCAGCAGCTTTCACGCATCTTAGGAAGTATCCTGTTGTTTTTACTTTTCATTGTAAATTCGAAACTAGATTTTAAAAAGTGTCCCGGAATACGCAACAAACATTACTGCCAGACCACATCTCTGATATACCTCCTTAGTGATGCTGGAATATAGCAAGACTCAGCTCTGCAGTCTTACAGTGGGATCTCTCTTAAAGCCACCCGTTTCCAGGAAGTTACTTCAGAGTTACCTCATTGGCACGGCCTAGGCAGCATTAGTAAAATGAGGGTATTCAAGGCCACTACTAAACCTCAGGTCAGTCACACTGGTTGACAGACAGTTGATAAATGAGGATCCTGCGTAGCAGGCATCCAAGGAAGCTTTGAAAAGCATGAAAGGAGGAAGCCAGCTACACATCCAAACTCGTATGCTTTAGAATTTTATTTCACTGTGGACATCTGAGTCCGGCAGCTGCTGTCCTTAGCCTTTTATGTGGCCACAGGTGTTGGCTTCAGTGCTGGAACCCACAGTCATGGGAGACAAAGACAGGCACAGTAGTAGCTGCCAGGGACTGGCAATTATGCCAAGTAAACATTGAATGTAAAACAAATATATGTGCCAATTGGGCTCCAAACTGAGTTTCTAGTTCAGAAAAAAATTAACTTGTCTT